AACCAGACAGATGAGAAGTTTTTGTCACTGCAAAATAGTTTGACCATCCAGAATTCATTTATTTATTTTCTTATTTACATGACTCAATTTTTTTTAAATAAATGTATTAATTGAACTGCATTGATCTTACATTGGAAAAATTCACTCTCTGCATTTAACCAATCCCTTTGGGGAGTGGTGGGCTGCCATCATGTGGCACCTGGGGAGCAGTGTGGGGTTAAGGGTCTTGCTCAGAGACCCAGAGTGGCAGTCCGTGGATGTGGGGCTCGAACCCACAACTTCAGGATTCCAAGCTATATGTTTTAACCACTAGGCCACCACTCCCCCTTTTTTTTTTTTTTTTTTTTACTAAAGAGGGAAGCTTTGATTTAGACATTAATAATCATCAGAAGTCTCCAAAAATCCCATCTTCAAAATAAATTTGCGTAAAGGGTCCACTGTAAAACAACTTAATATGAAGATCTTCAAATGTTTTTAGTAAAGAAAGAAACTCTTTCAGATTTTTTCCTGCCAACATCATCCATGGCTGCAACGTGTATTACAGTATGAGTTTTCCAAGGTTTGGTAGATTCTACTAGAGTACTCTAAGATATTTGGCACCAGGTTACAGGAAAAATAAATAGATGAAATATATAATTAATAATTACTTAATAATTATTTTTCTAGTTTAATGCAATTTACAGCTGCATTTTCAACCATTATGTTATTTGGTCTAGTGGCTGGCTCTTTCTTTGGGAACTTTATTATTTTATGTCTTAATCTTTACAGCTAAAGAGGTGGTTTATGTGTTGAAGTTAACAGTAAATAAACCTCACTCACCTAGTTCCATGTATAGACATTTACAATCTCATCATACTTACTTAAGGAACGTGCTTCTTTATGTTTCGTTAAATTTGGTGAACATAACCTGATCTACCTATTAGGATTTATATACCTACATACAATATTTAATATTTATTATCTTCATAAAAAAGCTATATGAAATTTCAAGGATATGTTTTCGATACCACATTTGTTATGTTTGTTTCCAGCTTATTAGTTTATATTCAAAAGAAAATGTATTATTTAGCAGGGTTCCCAAGTAAAAACATACGTTGTGTTAAAGGGCCTGTGCTGTATGGTTTGAATTGCCTGTATCATGGAAAATTAAACATCGAACACCACCCCAGAACACCTAATCTGTACAGCTAGAGAAAAACATTTTCCCTTATTAATTATAGATAATGTCTAAGTAAAAAAAAAAAAAATTTTTCGGTAGCAAGAGGTCTCACTTTGTTGTTATAATTCTTTAATATGGTGTGCTAAGTTTTCAAGCACAATGTGCCACTTTTTCCCTGTAAGGCAATGCATAGAATCAGCTTAGGGATGATGAAAGTTAGAAATATAAAAAGCAATTAAATAATAAAAAAATATTTCCATAACAACTTGAAAGGTTCATTTAGGTTTTAAGGGCACAAGATTGTAAATACCAGAGTGGTTAAATTAAATAGTCCTCTCTTGAACTAAGTGCATTTGGAAATATTGGCAGAATTTAGAGTAGATGTTTAATATCTGTCTTCTTGTTAAAAATAATTAGAGACTATGTTTTCATTCTTTACTCCAGTCAATGTTTCTTTGCTTATAATATGAATAAGAAAGGCTTAAAAATGATTGGTGGATCTTCAAATAAATTAACATCTAACTAAATAACCATTTTGAAAAGGCATTTTTAGCTAGATTTGAATTGTAAAAAAAAAACTTGCCTTTTTACAAACCCTTCAAGGTTAAACTTTTAATGTTACTTGAATGTCAATAAACACAGAAAAAGACTCTTATACCAAATGCACAATAGGTTCTGATCAACATTTTAAACTTAGAGGGTAAGAACTGTGACCCAAAACTGACAGTTATGTTGCATTTTCATGTGAGCAAGATAATCCTGCACAGATTAAACCACGAGCGACATCTGACATTTGATGTGTGACAGCACACAGATGAAACCTCAGACAGAGATCCTAATCTATACGGCAAAAGCAGTGGGTTCTGCTCTTCGGTCCAAACCAAACTTCAAGTTGCAAAAACAGAAAAAGAGCAGACATTCATCATTTTCCAATCACAAAGTCAATCCAAGTGAGTTGAGTATCCACTGGGGATTATGCACAATTTCTTCTCCTCTGAGACAGTTACTGGCAGCTGCAGTTATCACATACTGTAACTCCTGCCAAATGATGGAATGGCTTTGTGGGTTTGTGCCTTGGGTGTCTCTCTCTGTTCTCTGTCAAATAGAAGCCTCCAGTCACTGCTTAGTGGTAGAAGATGCATTACATTGCATTGACATTCGAAATAGTCCCCAAGGGGCTCCACTGTGGCTTTGATAGACAGACCAGCTTGGAAAGCTGTGCTGTCCCATAATTCACCCAACATGCTGTTCTCTTTGTGGTCTCAAATGTCCCTGGATGCACTGAGGAGTGTCACACCCCTTTGACTTCTTCTTTTTCTTTTTTCTTTTTCCTTTACTTTATGAATTTATAAAAGTAATGTTGAAGATGAATTTCTTTTTACTTTATTTTCTGTTTTAGATAACTGTTACATCTGTTCATTTCTGTATCTCTTCACTCTTATGTGTGGGTTAGCCAAAATGGACATCCTTATGCTGACATATGGTGGTCAGAGCAGCTCCAAGCGTCACCTTATATGGTGATGCTGTAGGCTGTGTGAGAGGAGCCGGATGCTGACTTGGGGCTTTTGGTAGACATGTCTTGGCTGACTTTTAGATACTGTAAAATGGGAAAGCCGGTCTTCTGTCCGAACAGCATACGCTATCAGATCGACACATACTTAGTTTTTATCTAATCTAAATTAATTCTACGTCACTTTATAAAGCACAGCCAATGTTTTGATGATTTTAAACATGAAAACAAAATGTAACCAAATTGAAATCCTGCACACTTTTTTTTTTTTTAACTACCGTACTAAAGTAACTTATTTTAAATTATTATAATCTAATATGGTCTTAGCTATGGAGGCTTCTTCTCTCAACATCCCGGAAACTTCAGACGTGTCTGGCTGTTTCGACATCCAAGAAATATATAATCAAAGCAGATTTTCTTTTTTAAAATTTGAAATAAGCGTCTTTTGCTGGTCGGTACACTAGTGCTAAAACTCAATGTGGGAATAATTCTCTGCTATGCTTGTGTGCACATGCATATTAGAACAATTTAGGGCGATGTGACAGCATATGCTGTTCTGACAGAACACAGACCGAGGCTCTCTACCTTTTCAGTGGGTTCTCCCCTGAACTGGTCGAGCGTAAGGGCCTCATAGAAGGTGAGATCTTTCTCTGAAATTTGTGCTTGTATCAATGGTTTTTTAACTGTCACAGGAGTAAATTCTGTTAATGCTTAAACATGTTTTCTCCTTCGTATACACTATCTGAGAAACGATACATTAGTAAAGGAGTAATACAACAGTAAGAGCATAATTTCAATTGCTGCCATGTGTTATTTACAGGACAGCAGATTTGGAAAACAAGTAAAAAAAAAAAAAAAAAATACCAATTTCGAACTTTTGGTCTTCACCCTCTGATTCCATTGCATCCAGTACTAGAAACCCTCACCTAAATTGTATAAAAATAGTAGTCAAGACTCTAATTTTCAATTTCAATTTTTTAATAAGATTTAACAATCTTGCTGCATTTTCCTTCTCCTGTTTTTTTTTTTTTATGTGGCAGCACAGTTCATGTATTTGCAGTGCCTTTTGTGTTTGCAGCACACTTTTTATTTATAGCGCATTTGCACTTTGCTTCTCTCTATTTTCTATGATCGCAGCTATTAACAGATTGCGCAAAGAACATATGCTTAACATCAGGAGTGCACACTTTCTAATGAGGCAAAAATTACAATTTTTGAAAGGATAAATATTAATAGACATAAACTCAATAAATAAAATCACTGCCAAAAGATTTTTTCCATGGAGTGTGAACATTCAGATAACTTTGGATGGAACATTTGCCTGCAGACTGGGGGATATTTATTGGGTAATTATATTGCCACTGTTACGAACACGTAAGAAAGAATGATTTCTTAAGTTTCTCTTTTTATCAAATTCTAATAAGTCAAAAAACTTTTCCAAATTGCTAAATTGGAGGTACTGTTTAAAGGCTTTTGAGGAGATAGATAGACAGACAGACCGCCTTGGGTATTGTATGGCAAACAAATCCTGTGTTGTTGTACACAATCTGTTACTATAGTTGTTACTGAAGAGCCCCTTCACTCGTAAAGATATTTAGTTTTGTATAATTTTTGATTCAATATTACCAAGTTTGTTGATTTTTCCCAATCCCATTTTATTTGTTAAGCACTTAAAAACAACCACAGCTGACCAAAGGGCTGTACAGAAAAAATAAAATAAATAAATTAAACATAGAACAGTACAGATAAAAAAACAAAACAGATAAAACATGAGAAAAATAACATTCACACAATCAAATCAATAAAATTGGTTAGATTGTACAAAAAATACATGAATCACTAGCCTCAAAACAAGTATAAATCCTCCTGCAGGCTGAACCTTACAGACTCCCAGGCCACCTGACAATTGAGACAAAACATCCATGCTGATCTGCTTAGCTGCGCTGCCCTCAACCCTCTAATGAACGAGGCCAAAAGAGCTCTTGGGCTTAGCCTCTCCCTCTTACCTTAACTTTACACGTCCCCATGCTCACTGGCTTCCACTCTCACAAACATACACACACACACTGATGCAAATGCATGGCATCATACAGTACACACTCCCAAACCACTAACCCTCAGACCAATCTGTCTGCAGCACTGTATTATTATTAGACTTACACACCCTCGAAGGGGAAACAGTGAGTGCTTAGAGCTGGAAGATGAGATATGCTACAGGGGCTAGTAGTTCCATTAAAATGGCATTCACTGAGGCCTTTGTTATCATCGGCCTTGATGTTTTCGGAATGTTGTGAGGTTTGCTGATCCATGACCATCTCATCTATCTTTCAGGATTTGAAGGAAGTTTGTGTGAAATTGACACCAATGAGTGTGCTTCAGACCCATGCCAAAATCTTGGGAAATGTGTGGACCAGGTGAATGGTTACAGGTAAAGAAAATAAAAGAAAAATGTATCTTTGTACCCCTCAGGAGGTTAAAGGCACCTTTACAGTCTGGAAAAGAATGCCTTTTAGTTCAGGCTTGATTAAGTATTGGAAAAAAAATATGAAAAAATGTGTCACTTCCTCCTTGCATCCTCCCTTCCTTTGTTATGTATGTAATCTCTATTTATTATCCTTTAGTATTTTTTGATTCCTTCCTCCTTTGTTACATTTCTTTCTTTCTTTGCATATACTGTCTTCCATTTCCTTCTTCCTCTGAGTTCATAGTTTCTTTCTTTTATTTCCTCTGTAATATATCTTTATCACTTATTTTGTCAGCAGTGTCCTTTCTTGCTGTTGTCGATACTATCTTTATTGACTTATACATTATTAATTTAAAAAGCATTCTTCTTGAAATAAAAAAAAAATAAACTTTTTTTTTTTGTTGTTAAACTGATTATTATAGAATTTTAATGTTCAGATTTCCAAGCTATTTCATGTGTTATGTTATTTTTTTATTTTGTTTTATTGTTTTATTCTATCCCTTATGCTATTTATTTTAACTGTTAAATTTTACACCATGTACAGCATTTTGGTCAATTAGTATTTCCAATTTTCTATAAAAATGAACTCAGACTTCATAAATATGTAAAATCTTGACCTGTTTATCACTTTTTAAGTTAATTAGCTATCATTTAAATATTTTACATAGGATGTACTGTATATAAATTACTCGGCATGTGAACTAAAATAAATAAGGTGTAGTAAGGCATAACTTTGACTAAATATGTCAAATTTCAGTTTTGGTATTTTTCTATACTGACCTACCATAATTTGTGGAAACCATATCTCACATTGACTGCATTAAGTTCAGAAGTGTCTAGTGAAAGATTTACTGCAATGTTCAACAAAAATGTATTGTTGAAGTTTATGTTGCAGACTAAATATGAAAAAATGTAGGTTAAAGCCATAGATTTTTTTTGAAAATGTGCAGAAAGTCGGGGTTTATTTACAAACTTTAAATGACCTATCATATATTTTTAAAGAGAATGATTTGTAAAATTGGCTCAAATTGTTAAGGTTTCAATATTTTTAAGTTATATTAAACAGTTTAAGGCTAACTGTGTAGTTCATTTCGGTGAATCTTGTATTCAAGTACTGTAAATGTCAGGCTTACTTAAGTATATTTTTCATTTACTTTTGCACTCAGCTTGTGTCCACAGAAAACATAAACCTCCTATTTTCTGTCTGAGGAAAGAACATTGATTAAAATATTTTTCTTTTGCAGGTGTGATTGTCAGATGGGATTTTCTGGCCTCCTCTGTGAGGAAAACATCAATGAGTGCTCCTCCAACCCTTGCAGCAACGCAGGCATCTGTCAAGACCTTGTGAATAAGTTAGTATAATTATATTCCAATTTTGTTTATTTTTTTCCATTTTTCTTTGAATTTTCACATAGGCTGTTTACTATAATGTAAGTTGAAAAAAACAAAACAATTTTTTGCTCTGTCTGAAGCAAGCACAATTAATATCATGAGTTTGTTTTGAAAGGTGAACAAACAAAATCATTTCATAGCCAAACATTTGTGGCCATGGTGTTTGTCTTCAAAGTGTTTCACTTTATATAACAAGCCTGTATTCATCCTTGACACGCATAAGCTTTCCTTCCAAAGACAGAGTGGATTCTGCAGGAAAGCATCATATATCTAGATTGGTCTTTACTCCACCAGCGCCTCTCTCTGTTGTGCTTAATGGGAGCCCCAGGGCATCAAGACTTAGTCGGACAGATGGAAAGAGAAGTCCCAGGGCCAATTTGAGTCCTAAATGGTTTGTCTTCAGTTTTTGTCCTCGTCTTGACTTAGCTCCCATGCGGCCTGGCCTGGCTCAGAAAACTCCCCCATTTGCACAGTCTAGGGAGTTCTCATCAGGTGTGTTTTAAAGCTGCCTAATCCACATCCTCATCTCCATCTTCATCTTCCTGAGTTAATAAGTCAATTTCTACCATAGTGATGATGCAATCTTTGTACCATCATCTCTAAAGCCTGATCTTACTTGTAAACATCCTGTTTATTTTACATACTTTGAACTTGGCTGGGTGAGAATGCTAAACTGACTAAAGTACAAGCTGTGAAAGAAGTGATGAAACTAGTCCTGTCTTATGGGCTTAGCAGGCTGTACTTAGAACAAAAAGCTACGTTTTAGCACACTGCAAAAATTGATTGAGATATTGCTGGTTTATTTAATCAAGAATATATTAAGACTTTAGCATGGGGGTGCCTAATTATATTCTTTGTCATAACTTAAACCTAGGCACAATTGCTTTCTCCTTGGAGATGCATGTTTATGTGATAACAGGTTTACAGAGGGATTTAATTTGATATACTATATCAACATAATCCAAACAAAATTTAGAATGAGACACACGCACAGGGAACATTGCTATACCATTGTTACAGGTTTTTCACATTTCTAGACAACACAGGGAAGCTGCACTATGCTTTATCTTTGTGGGTTTAAATGGACCTTTTTAATGATTATTTCTGCACAGTTATATGAAAAGTTGTTTTTAGCACATTTTGTGAAGTGGAAGGAAAAGACTGTTCTACAAAAACAAATATTTACAAGACGAAAAAGAAAAAGCCAGCGTAGAATTTATCATTTGCCAACCTTAATATTAAACAATATGGAATGCATTGTGGTAAATCTACATACATTTTAAACGTTCATAGACAGAATATTTCACCAACATATTTGCAATAGTTGAAATTCAGTCCTGTGGGGTGAATCATCTTTGAACATCAATTTTCTTGACACACATACCAAGATCTGGACTCAGCTTGGGCCATTCTAAGACATCTAATCTATATGCTTTGATTTACAGTGAACCATTCTTCTAGCTAAATATTTAGTGCCAATGGATCATGAGAGATAAGTTTCTCACTACTCTTAACTAGGTATGTCCTAATACGTTTTCATTCCTGATACTTCACCCATAATGGAGTATCCTTTGTATTAGTATTTATCTGATACAATATCAGCACAAATTATACATACTTCCATTGCTTATTTTGTTTAGTGGAATATTAAAAAAAGCCTCAATCAGGTTTTTCCTAAGAATTATTTTACATTTAGCTAAATTTTATGCCTTAAAAAGCATTTCCAAAGCACAAGGCTTCCATAATGAAGGTCCACCTTGGGGATGGCCTGTGCATGTTTATACAGTATGCAGTGTAAGTCCTTCCGTTCTTGTAGCCTTTTGGTTGTAACGCAAGATGGGAAATTTTGGCTCCCAGTTAACCAATAAAACTTATGGACCAATCTTTAATTTGCCCATGACATAGTAAAATGTACACTTCTGATGTCTCTTTTCTTTTTTCTAATCGCTTCTTACCTGTTACACCTTCCCAAAGGCAAGATTTTTGGAGTAAAGGAATGCATGCTCGGTGATATGTTTAAAGCTTTGGAAGACTTTATTCCTGATCCATCTCCTGTAGTTCCTTTGTCTTAATAGGCCCTATTCCACTGAAAGCCCTGTGGCAATCAGATTTAGAAAAAGTTTTCCTTTAGTTCCAGTGTCATCCAGCTTTAAATAAACCCCAAAGTTTAAAAGGTTTGACATTTATTTATTTATTTATTTATTTATTTAATCAACCTGCTACTGGTCAGAGTAGCTTTTTAACTCTGATTAATTATTAATAAGTGCAAAAAAATAACTAGTATATGGGAGATTCAATTTGGAAGTTGGACTTCACCAACTATTTAGATCATTTGACTTGTTTTTTATTTATGGGAGCCAGAATAAAAGGGAGGAATTTATACATTTACTAGACATTTCAGAATTGTATAAATACAAAATAAAGAAAATCAAATAAGTTGTTAATTTTGCTTCAACTTTGCAATTAAAATTATTACAATGTTTAAATGGAGTTTAAAAACTTCTGCATGAATTTTTTACTGCTTTATTTAACTTTTGACGTTTGTGGTCTCTGCAGGATTTTACCTTATTCCTATATAATTTAGTGTTATGACGTCCTTTTCAGGTTCCACTGCGTTTGCCCTTCTGGTTATTTTGGAGTGTTGTGTGACCTGGATGTGAACGAGTGTGAAGTCTCACCTTGTCTACATGAGGGCATCTGTATCAACATGCCTGGAGGCTTCAAGTGTGTCTGCCGACCTGGATACTCAGGTACCCACTTTGCCCTCAGGTGACATGAAGATCAATACAAGAGTCTGAAAAAGCTTATCATGATGCCCAGTGCAGCTGCATGCTATTGACACAGCTCTGACACAGATCTGGCTTTGCGTTAAAAAAGATAGGACTCATAATGCCTCGATTTTAATTAGCTTGCCTGCTGCTTCAAGATAAAAGATTTTTTGTTTTTGTTTTTAAACCAGGCAGATTAAATTACGTCACCTGAGTTATCCTTAAGATAGCTTTATTTCAGTTTATCATTCTATATATGTTGGATTGCTACTGGTTAATTTTAATGCATTGTGATCATATTCTTAATGAATAGCTATAGCAACATATATATCTAAATATATACTAACATTGGGATGTCTAACCATATATTTATTCTTTACATATATTTGTTGGTACCATCCAATATTAATTCCTGTCAGACACTCTAAAGATTAATTTCATTTGTCTTCCACACTGCATCATCAATTTATCCTTCCTCTAGTTCAGAGAAGGGGGAAATCTCAAAGGTATTGCCACTCTAGAGAGCAGAACCTGACATGCATGGCCCAATTCCTACAGTAGCAGCTTTTCTTATTAGGCCTACACACACCATAGTACAAGTCATCTCTTTTTCTGTTGCTATAAGCTCGTCTAAGGGAAGGGGTCCCCCAAGAGAGCGAGCAGGCAGGGTATACAGGACCGGATTGGCGGCAGTCGACCAGAACTCGTGCGGAATATTTGCCACAGTAATGTGTGCAGTAGTACTGCAACTTTGAATCCATCATTCTCTCTGTTTTTTATGTTTTTTTTTTTTTTTTTATGGGGGGGTGATACCAAAGTGTCTTAAATCTCAGAGCGTCACACTATTTCCAATTATTGAGTTAGGGAGAACTTTTCTTTGCATATCAAATGCTCCAAATAATTCATGTTTAAGTAGCTTCCATGCTGTGTCTGCTAAGTTGTGGTATAATTAAGCTAAAATGATATTTAATTTCCACCTGCTTATATTGACGTTTTAAGCAGCCCTTGTTTATGTTGCACCTCATAACCTTAAAAATTTTTTCTCACACATTTTTAAATAAATCACAAAAATAATTTTATTTTTGCTCATGATAGATTGTTTAAAGAGAAAACATTAATAGTCATTCCTGTTTTGGTCTCATCATATTTAAAAAGTTTTCCAATAGAATATACTCTGGACTTTATTTAAGTAATTCATGGCCATGAATATGTTTGAAACTAAACCATTGTGTAACCTAAACCCTTCCCAAGTCGCATGGCTTATTCCTCCTCCAACAATATTGTCCTGCATTTAGCAATACCAATTTTCCCAGCCACTCAGAGCAGCTTTTGCATCCATGCTGAACAAATCTAAGCCCCTACCATGGTTCAGCTATCACCACATGTCAATATGACATTTGTGTGTCAAGACAAATAGTGGTGTTTTTCTTATCTTTATTATGTTATTATGGTACTAATCTGGGTTTTCTTATTTTCTGAACAGTTTTTGTAGAAGCCTTATCTTGGTATATGTGATGGTTTGCCTTACTCTTTCTTTTTCAGATGATGGTGTAAACAGTCATTTTTGACATGTTCAAAGCCTAGGTTATTATTCTAAGTGGTGACTGGCACACAGGAGGCGCTGGGGCTTCGCCCTCCCTGATAAAGGGAGAAGTAAATATGTTTTTTTACAAAGTCAGAAATATATATAGCAGTTTTACTTTCTAAAGTATGCCTCTATGTAATGTAAAATATACTTAAACTACATTTCCTAGCAATTAATATGTATTTACCAGTCAATTCCCACATAAAGACCTATACAGAGCATCCCGCAGTTTAAATCAGTGATAATTTACATACTGTTTCGGTAGGATCGGGGAGGCTTTCCCATTACAGTTACCAACTCCAAAAAAACTCTGCCAGGCAGACGAGCTCAAAGTCAGCTCCTATGTCAGAGGATGAAATAGAGCACATACAGTTATTCACAGTCAGAAAACAGGTCTACACTGAAAAACAGTCCACGTTCCAACATCTATAAACAAAGAAAAAACAGGGTATTGAAGAAGACATGGTATATTATTCTTACCTCTTTTTATATCATGTCATAAGAATGTGAAACAGTATTTACCATGCTAAGGAGAGATTTTGCTTCAACAGGCCCTTGGTTAGTGCCACTCTGCTGCAAGGAGACTTGTGCACACAACAAGTCCCCAGACCCAGCACTAGATACCACAGCACTATTGCCAAGTCTTTAGCCAGAAAAGTCTCTATTTGCTGTCCTAAATGGTGCTAGAATGCGCCTAATGGTGTGATTGCCTAATTTGCATATCCAGCTGAGGCAGACTCGGAATCCCTCTGATTGCTTTTTCTCTTTAGCTGTCTAAAGCAGTGCAGAGGGATATTGGGATAGCTTGGAGGAAATTACCTGGGTGGGGGTTGAGAGTGCTATGGAAAATTTTATAGAAACAAGTAAACAAAATACATAAAATTCAGCCATACCAGTTGGTGGCGGCAATTTTACCAACCTCCACCAAGAGTCTGAAAAAGCTTATCATGATGCCCAGTGCAGCTGCATGCTATTGACACAGCTCTGACACAGATCTGGCTTTGCGTTAAAAAAGATAGGACTCATAATGCCTGATTTTAATTAGCTTGCCTGATGCTTCAACCAACTCACGAAGAAGTAGAAAGCTGTGCAGATACACACCAAGGAGGGAGGTGCACAAAGGAAGAGCATGAGGTGATTTAGGACAGAAATAGCAGCAGTTTTACAAATGTGTATTTCATTTGCAATCTGGATTTGAATTTGAGATTTTCTCTCTCTCTGCTGTGGCTTGCAACCCGACAGTTCTGGATGACAACAGCAGACAGTGAGAGATTTGCAAGCGAGCTTACCGATCCACTCATTTCTCAATCAAGAGGACAAGGTTTGGTGCAGTGTTTTCGCCAAAGTCCTCATCAACACAGAAAAAAGTTTCTAGATTTGGTGCTAGTTGTCTTAAAAAAAAAACAGAGTTCTGAAAAGTTGCTAAATACAGCAATAAAAGCTCTAAGTTGGCAACACTATACCACAGTTGATCCTTGTCTCTCGCTGAACAATTATCAAATTCACTTATCTTCTTATTCTTATCATTGTATTGACCTTAGAAACATGAATATAACCTTCTTTCACTCAGTTGTACTCTGTTCATCCTATAGATTCAGCTAAAAAAACATTAGTTGTTGTTTATTATTTAATTTGATAACCTTCCTCTCTACATTGAACATTATACAATCAAAAATTGTTCATTTACTTGATCATTGAAAATTGACATTTTGAGAAAGCATTTAACCCTGATTGGAATCTTTCCAGAACTTTTTCACTGACCTGTCCCCTGTTCTCCTTTATCTTTGTGATACATTTTGTTCACTATTGTATATACTGTTTTAGGCAAGGCAAGGGGATTTTATTTGTATAGCACAATTCAGTACATGGATAATTCAAAGTTCTTTATATGAATTTGATCATAAAATACAAAAAAAAAATAAAAGCAGAGTAAAAACAATCACAGGTTCAAGCACCTGCCTGGAGACCTACCCTCTTTCTCCTATTCCATTTCCTGTCTTCCTTATGACAAAAATAAATGCCACTAATGCCTAAAAAATATAATAATAGAAAAAATGTTTTACACAGGTGGACCCTATTTCAAAAAGACTTCCAAAGAGAGTTACTGAAAGAAACTATATATATATATATATATATATATATATATATATATATATATATATATATATATATATATATATATATATATATATATATATACATTCCACATTTTTCAGATATTTATTTAGGGAGAAAATCCTAAAACAATCTATAATTTCTTCTTAGAATTCATATCTGTGCTTACTTTTTTTGTTGGTCTTTCAATACAATCAAAATAAAAAAAAAACATTAAACTAGCCTAGATACTATATTGTTAAAGGTATTCAATAAGATTAAAAAGCTTTTTTTTGTTCTTTTTCTAATGTCTGGATTCCGTATGTCTGCTAAGTTATTTGTCTAATGGTACTACAATTATAATTACTTTTTATCATAAGCCATTGCCTAAAATTCCTATTTTAGAAATCATATTTTGGAAGGCTTGACAGCCTGCATAGATATCCACTGACAGATCAATATTCGGGGACTTTTGCTCAAGATCCTCTGCAGTGCCTGTAATATATTTTTGGACTGCACGTACTGTAGGTGTCATATTGTTTTCAGGGTCATAAGTCATTGCTACGACATGATTAATGGCTAAACTTGTTTAAATAAATCACAGTTTAAGCACAGTATTCATCACCTTCTGTTTTTTCTTCTTTGCCCATCATTAGGGAGCACACTCCCTTGAGTGATGTACAGTGCAATCAGCACATTGTTGCAGTATACTTAGTCAGCACATTGTTTGATGATGATGTTCTAGCTTGTGAGGTGCTTTTTTTTTGTTTGTTTGTTTTGGCTGTTAATGCTTTTCACAATCTATTGTGATAATATCTGTGCTAGTGTAATATAGGTATTGCCCATTGACTGCTGATGTGTATTTCATTTAAAAAGCAACAATGGGTAATGTGTAGCCACTGGGGACATATCTTTAAATTCCAGGTTCTGTGCCCCTGAAAGTAACTGGCAACACAGCACTTTCACAAAATAAAATGTCTACTTTGGTTTTGGGGAATCTGTTAGCAGATATCTTTGAACCATCAGATTAAGAAGTCATGAGGTAGTTTTAAAGACAAGGCCACATTCACTCCTCTTGATTAAATGCTACATGCTCCTAGTATATCACTGGCTAATTGTAAGTGCCAGCTCTTGTCAAAGTCCTTCCCCCTGCTGTGATTGTAACTGGCTTCGTGTCGTCGCAAAAAACTGGAGACTGTACCATGAGTTGGTTGATTGGTTGGTTGTTTGTTTGTTTGATTGATTGACTTTATTGATCTCACAGTGGAGAAATGTACTCGTTACATTGGCTTAATAGTCAAAA